GTCTCTACGTGACATACTTAGTGGAAACCTCATAGAAAGCGGCTCTTAAGAAGGCGAAATTCGCCGAAACGTCAGCTTAATCGTGAACAAAGAATAGTAACACCTCGTTTGCTCAACAAAAATACGAAGAAAATCACTTGACCAATGCCGAGGTTAATAGAAAGTCGGTCGTGGCAGCTAACATCTTCGTTCGTGCATAATATCTTACGAACAAACTGAAGATTTTGGAGTTTAGGCACTTCTTCAAGAGAGGCATGAGCTTGTGAATCCAGAAGACATACATGTTTATTACTCCTTCATATTGCATAAGGAGCTCGTTGATAGCTTGTATTGTGGAGTCATTCGACACGTTACTATAAATGGTGGTAACGTCGAAGGACTTCATCATATGCGCTCTGTTGGGACGCGCTTTACGGAGACAACGCAAAAATATTTGGCTATTCTTGAGACGGGGAGGGATTTGCTTCGGAAACTTGCCGGAAACGCTATTTTATCCGTGGGACCGTCTACACAACCGATGATGGACTCAAACCAAATCCTACAATATTATCATAATCAGGCGACTTTATTTTATACCGTATATACCACAGGAATGGATTAATATTGTGAGGTAGTGGAATGAATGAGAATGCTCTGCGAATAGCACGATCCGTGCAGGAAAGCGATCCCAGTACCCAAGTTGTCGTATCCGTAGTTGTTGTAACAAATTCTAATCTTGCAAAACAACCCTAAGAACATCGCAGTGTTAAGAATGAGTCAAATTAAGGCTTGTAAATGTTATCGGAAGTCAAATCTATGTATATATGTATTACGGCGCGTGTGGTGCAGTGGTCGGAAGCGCTCTGCAACACACATATGCGATCGATCTTCGCGCCCATGGCTCAGCAAGCCTTCCATCCCTCCGGAGTAGGCAAATTGGTACCAGAATTGTGTGGAAGGATAGCAGCACTGGCTCGATATATCGGTAGGTCACCGCGAGTCATTGCAAAGGCCAGATATGCATTCGATCACCTCCAACGATGCTTAATGAAGACGAATGAATGACGCATCCATCAGGAATTGATCAATGCCGAGAGCTCTATCTTTCCTTTATATATATATATATATATATATATATATATATATATGCATACACACATACATATACATATATATATGTATATACATATATAAACAAATTTTACTGCCCCGTACTGCTAATAACGTAACTTTCAGGCCGAGAAAACTAGCAACATCACTCCTCCTAAGCAAATCTCGAAAGAAAGCATTATGAACATATGATTATCGACGAGTTAACCCATGTGCTTATTGAGTAGTCAATTTTTATGAAGCATAAATTTATGTGCTCATTCAATATAATGTACTAAGGACACAAAGAAAGAATTAAACATGGCTGTAAATACGAAAACATCCATGAGTGATGGCAACAGCATAGGCAACATCTATAAAACAAACACTTGTACACACCCAACATATCTCTGGAAATTTTAGTATCAGAGAAACCACGCGTGCTTAAAACAACTGCTTGGTTGGGAGAGCTAGGAATTAGTTGAAACATTCCCAATGTTATAACAATAAAATGTAGTGACTAGAAGAATCAGACAAATAATGAATATCACAGAAATGACACAAAAATTGTCTCTGAGCAAAGGGACCACTTTCTCTGATTATCCAGTGCTTTGTGATTAGTTAACACATTCGTGACCATGCTGTTTTTTCCGACAAGTACAAGTAATTTTCCGATGAAACAAGCATTTGAAGAATTAGAGACATTACACTAATACTGGACTTACTGAAGAGACTTTAATTTGGCCCATTATTTTGAAAGTAGATAACGTTTTTCTAAAATTTTAGTTAAATTTTACGCCTTTAGAAAACCCAAGTTTCCAAAAATAAAAGTGAAAGAAATCTCAATTTTTAAAAAACTTTAACGCAATCGCGATAGTAGCAAGTACCTACGACGAATTCTGCTGTTTCCACATTCTTCACAGTAAAATTTCGCTTACTCATTCTCCTAAGAAACTAGCAGGAACGAGAGAAATCAAAATAAAAAGCAAGTACAGAATTCAGAATTTTGCCTTTGCTTTGTTGAGCTTTCATCATGTTAGCAAGGATCTTTAAATCGTATTGATCCTTATTACAGTTAACAAAGTTCGCTATGAGTTAAGAAATGTGTGCGCAAAATTAAAGCGCGCAATTAGTTTGAGTAACATGCATTGGAATCAATGCATGCGGTTATAATTGTGTTAAAGAAACTTATACAATGGCCAGAAATTGAGCATATGCTAACTATAAGGGAAGCAATAACAAAACTACAATTCCAGAAAAGATTTGTGAAAAACGACGAAGTGACATAGGATCTAACCGATCGTTAGTTAGAAGTGGACTTCAAGAAGGGAAAAACTAAGTGCAAAACATCATATCATTATCGAGCATATGCTAGATGTACTGTGGGGGATCCTGGCCAGTAAGCAAACGGAACATACTCGTCGGCATGGTCTTCATGTGAATTTCGCCAATCGCCGTTGCAAGCATATTTACAATTCGATCATGTGCGACGGCCACCACCGATTGGTTGTTGATCTCAATGATACGATGTCCGACGCGAATTCCGCCTCGTTCAGCGATTCCACATAAAACAACACTTTCGCAGAACAGCTTCGCAAAAACTTCAAACAATGGTTGATGGATTTCCCCGCTTGCCAGTTATTTTTAATCCAAACCGCAGCAGAGTGAACGGAACAAGGTTAACCAGAAAAGAAAACGGACTGGACAGACCACGAACATTTCTTTGCAGTCGTAAATTTGATCCTAACGTCCTTTGTTTGTGGGATGTCAATTCTCTTCCATTTCTTTATAGTAACTACATCCTATAATTGTTATAACTTCTCTATATTACCGAACGTTTCCTATGCTAATAATGTGTGCTACCGACGACATTTAATTTCGCATTGTATTGCCATTGCTACTGTATTCACCTTCTTACTGTAGCCATGAAGTACACTTCAGTTGTTAGGTCAAGCTCTCCATCCAAAAAGTAGTATTAATCGCAATAACATGTCACAGTACTGTTATAATAATCAATATTAGATTCACCCTCATCTTTTGTACTATAAAACTGCTTCCGTAAATTGTCCTGAAATGGCCGCATACCGACTTCGTCATATGGTTATGCACCTTGCCTTCCGACCTAGGATCGGAGGACTCCACCCGTCTATCCGTCATCTATGCTTCTTGATCGTTGCACTGTGTGTATATGTAGTATCCTCAGCCATGTCTAGGTCGTCGTACTCTGTGCTCATTCACAGATCGTATGTCGGATTCGTCACTGAATTGTGGATGCATACCATCATCCTATCCCACTTCCGTCCGAGCAACCTTCGGAGTCAACAAAGTAGAATACCACTATTTCCAATTCATACCGTTTTAACACTACTGGAAAAGATACTTTGCCAGTGATAGTCGTCCTTGTTACTTTTTATATCAACCCTACCTGCGCATCACTTTAGACTTTATATTTTCCATACATAAGGTCTTGTTATCGATATGTCGTTATCATTGTTATTGTTGTTACATATAAACAGTTTGATTACCCAGATTTAAGACCTGGGTTTATAAGAAAACTGGCATGGCAAGAAACACTACACAAACAACCAACTTCACTATATTCTGAGTTTAAATAACTTGAAAGCACAAATCGAAACATTTGCTTACCTCGCAATAGTGAACAAATGACACCGTTTTGAACGGAGAATCCTAATTGATACTTGGTGTCCGGCCGTCGTATTCTCACCTCAACAACAGGTGGGGTGGATACAACAGTCAGTCGAACTGCCGTAGCTGTTCTAAAGCCAGTTACTCTCTGATCATGGAGTGAAAAATCGTCAAGAAAAACGCACTTCACATTTTTTATATTGGTTTGAGCTGCTGATAATGGAAGCCCAACTAGAGAAATCCCGTTGATATTGATGATTTGGTCACCAATATTTAGCTGGTTAGAGCGGGCCGCAGGTCCGGAAGGATTCATGTGGGCCAGCACCACTGTTGGAAGCATTGATCCCCAACCTGATTCAACCTGAACTAGAAGTAGTTAATCTCTTAACCACTAGAGATAAGTGTTGATTTCATTCATGCAAAACTTCTTACCACCACTATTCCTAAAGGCTCCCCATTCTTTTTCGGAACGACTACGTCTTTCTGCGTTTCTTTTCGTGCAAACATTTCTAGTTCATCGCCGAGAAGCTCTTGAGAGTTCAACACCTCCTTCAACACAATATCTTTGGAAAATGACAAAATTGAGATGCATTGAAAATTGATGTTCACAAGAAACCAAACCTGGTAGTCGATTTGTCTTAGATATGAAGGATCATCAATGCCATTTGCCCGTAGAAACTCAACGTACGCAACCTAGACAGCATGTACTTACAAGGATGAAAAATCACTTATGTGGCAAGCTCAGCACTAACCTGAAAAGCTTGTCCAATAGACTGTGCGATGAAAGACGCCTCATCGGATTCAAACACGTGGCATATTACTTTTGGTGTTTTCCGCACACCATCAACTCTGAAATCCACATATGATCATACATGGTATCTATCATTCGACTGAGATTATTTTTTGCAAAATATAACTTTAACAGATTGACGACCACGTGACAAGGAATGCAGCCATACCTATTCACTGGTTCACCAGCTTTAGATAATAAAAGTTAAAGTAAAATATCTTAGTTAAGAATAAATTTTAATCCTGATAAAAACCACTAAAACTTCCATATTTTTGTCAAAGAGGAACCACGAAAAGTTCATGTATAGAACTCTGCGGTTCTGGAAGTGATAAACTAGTTGGATGTAATTTTGAACTCGGCTTTGGTTTCTGAAGGTTGAATAGAAAGCTGCCAAGATGCTTGAAGTGGTAGTTAGTAGAAAAGAGGTCCAACAAGAATGATGGACGAAGCACAATTTCAGTGCACAGTTCGTTCAAACTTTGTAGCGTCGGAGGTGCGACATTTGGGCATCCGTTAAAGTGGAAAAACACCATTAAATTCCTAAGCATCCATTTATTGAACTTCCACGACATTTCCGTTCTCTTTACATGCTTCGAAACAGTGGAGATATCTATATTAATTCTTTCTACTAGTTTTAATATAATTGTGCGTGTATTTGCTTGCATAAGAACCTTCAAATAAATGGTGTCAAAAGCAAAAGAACTCCAACAACCTTTCTCAACTTCAAGGTCGAGTTCGCCACGACGAAACTTATGAAAATATTTCACTATGCATTTGGTAACACGTTCCTGACCTCATGCCTTAATAAATCCCAGCCGTTTGCGCTGCACTACTACCGATTTTGAATTTGTAAATGTAAACTTTTCGAAAATACTATTCATATTATGGTCCTGACTAAGATCCCATTTATCCTGCCTTTCATTTCCAACGAAATAAGCACGGCTATAAAGCGATGCTTAAAAAAAGTCCGGTTTAGAGAAGTTGGTAGCTGTGATTGAAACACCACCGAATATCCTAAAGTGCCAGCAAGTTCGTAAGCACTGATAATAAATAAAATTGCGTTATTTACCCTAACGGTACAAGACCTCTTGTGAGCCGTGTGAGGATGAAAATGTTGGCGAAACGCATAGACCACTATGTGTCCACATAAAAGAACACCTAGTCGGTAGAGTTATGTTAAACCAAATACTCCGCTAGGCGCGCATAGAACACAGAGATATAACGAAGAGGATTTTAAACTAGAAATCACCATTTTTGCACAGGAATCTAAAAATTCAGCGCGTAATATTCTTGAAGCATTCTGGATAAGCTTCAAAACTCCAAAAATGAACCGCAGGTAGAAATGCCTCATGACACGTGATCTCACATAACATCTCACTGATATTTTAACGTGGGAGGAGTCCATTACCCATGCGAACTTCATGCGGTTGGACTCCAGGTGGAATACTCAATGGAAAATTCGCAGAAAGCGGTGAGGGCGTATCGCGATTTCTGCTGAGGCTGTGGAGATGTTTGGCTAACTAAATTGCAACTAACTTGACAATTCGAAGTTTTGGAGAAGGCAAAATTCAGCGAAACATCAGCCTTTGTGGGTAAGTAAACACTGTGGTAATAACCTCGTGTGTGCTTATCAAGTGAACAGCGAATTACTCATACTACAATTTAATTACATCTAATTATATTAACAAAGAATTTGGTGCCGTTATCGTGTCCTATTCTACGTAAAACGGCTTCTTCATTTGCTTTCATTTTTGAAATACGAGCATCAACGAAAAATGCAACAAATATGTTTCATGAGCTCCGGAAAATCAAAACATCATCTTGGTAAAACAAGAGATTTTTCACCCTTTAGGCTAAAATTTGTAGATCGTAATAAATTCTATTACAATTTCAACCATAAGGATGCTGAGATAGGAGCAAACCGCGTAAATTCTGGTGCGCTTTGAACCCACCATGATTACCTTTTCGAGGTTCCAGGTACCACTCACTACGCCAACAAAAGCCTTTGCTTTGCCCTTCTCTCGGACAATTTTTAATTTAACGATGGTATCAGTAATCAGTCATCAACGGGATTGAGCACAAATCGGCAGTGAAGCACAGATACGAAGCGTATCTGTGGCTCCATGTTTTGCTTACATCTTAGCATACTAGTGGTTGCATTCAACATCATACCCTACCATAAAAAATAATAAACAGTAAACAAAAGTTGAAAAATTACAACAAATTTCAATTCGAGTTATGTTGGCTCAAAGTGAAACGTGACCGTAATTTTCGCACTCTGTGAGTGGAAATCAAACCACATCGAACCCAAGCGTCATTAAGTCAAATTCATGGCGCATCTTCAAGCAACTGAACAAAGGCAAACGTTCTAACTGTTGTAATTTTGTACGCTAGAAATGAAGAAAAAGGGTCGACGATAACTGACTGGTCACATTTCTCGTCGCTACTGCTAGCAGACATTCTTCGAGCCATCAATACTACCAAGTCACCGATGTCCGCAATGTAAGAAATAGTGCGCAGTGCGTGATCCATCAAGATGTCCTGGCAAATAAGATGTAACGTAAGAGTTTGGACGTCAACATAGAAAAATAAGAAGGAAAACAAAGGAACAATCGTGTATTATCATTTGCAATCATACTCAACTGCCCAATATAATCTAATACAGAGGACGAAAGAATACAAAGTCCACTTACCTGTCTCACATCGGTGTCCGAAATTCTCTGGAACAAAAACTGTCATGACAGTTCACAGCACAGGGGAATGGTAGACAAGGAAAACGAAACAAATATAATTAATGGCATATGTGGAATAAATTGGCGCGAATAAGGACAAAAAACAGCGCGATTACTAAAAAAAATATGTAATACCTGTAGGTCTGTATTAAGCACCATTATTTTCTCTGTTGAAATGAACAAATCAATCTCCGTGCTAGGTTGGATCTCCCCTTCAGGAGCCTGAAATTCCCTCATTCATTGATTGCCTTTTGCGGAATAAACATCACTTAATTTGACTTACTGAAAGCAAAATTCTTCAAGACACGAAAGTGCAAGTAGTACCTTAACCCTTCCAACAGCTTCTTGAGCTTGTGCCATTCTAGCCATTTTACTGCCTCTACTCTCGTACATCATTTGCGTTGAACCAAGATAACGAGCACGAAACAGTACTCCTTCAATCAAAACCGCAGGTTCATGGACCATTGCTAAAATAGAACATTAAGCAAAGAAAAAATGTGAAAGTTCTGATAGTCTAACAATGAAAGAAATTTAAAAACAAATTTCGATGAGGTTCACAAGTTATCAATCTATACAAGCCAATTTTGATATGGTGACACCGGTCGGACTTCTAACATGAGATAAGTAACCATATATCCTAGAGTTAGGGGGGCTCGATTTCGCGGCGAGATGCCCAGGACCATAGATTTCGGGGCAATTTTCACCTTTCTTGCATAAATGACGCGAACTGGAGTATTGGGAGCAACCAATGGGAACAATGCAACTTTAAAAAACCATAGTACTAACTGTTGCAAAATTAATGTTTTGGCAGTAAAACGGCGGTTTACCGTGAAATTCCTGTAATTTTGAAAGAACAATGCAGTATTAAGTAACTCCATTAGATTACAAGTAAAAGTGAATAGTTTACTAGCTATGGACTTTAAAGATGTGCATATGGTGCTACTTGCGCAACGAACTTTACAGAAGCTGTTCTAAAAATGCTTGGAAATATGAACTAATATGAGCTAGCACTCTGCTGTAAAGTGACCGGATACCTATACCTGTTTCGACTCATGCTATCTCTACGATTTATTCAAAAAATACTCTACAGAATAATGTTGCAATGTCCTTCAGATAGCAACAAGAATAAAACCTTTACGAGATAAAACACAACGTCAAACCAATGCAAACAATAAAATATGCGGGTAAATCAATCTCGATGCAGGCAGACCATGAGGAGCAACGAGAGAGAAGGCCAATGCTGGCATATCACTTACCCGTCGTAGTGCAATGGTAGTAGAGGATCGTATGTGATGAAAAAAGAAAACGTTCGTAAGTTAACCAAAGCTGGGCGAATATGGCGATATAATCATGAATGTTCGTGGAACCAATCAAAAACATTTTTTTACCTCGTTATTTCGATAGTAATATTGGAAATTCACGGGGCCCTTTGCGCAATTCCTATTTCTATTACACCTACGCACCTTCTTTGTTCCTCTTCTTGTCGTGATTTCCTGATGAAGGTGGAGTGTGAGAAGAATCACCAGTCCCTCCAAGGAGAAGGCGGTCAGTTTCCACTTCTTCACCATCAACAACGCCTTCTGATAAAACCGAAGAAGCGGCAGACGTCATGTTGTTTCCACTGCCAAATTCGTGCAAGCACTCCTAAGAATAAAAAGTAGACATTCATTCTAAATCATTTTTAATATATTGTAAAGGTACGTAGTTGTAAAACTAGGAACAATCGAGATGTAACAGAAGAAAACACCTGGTCTTTCCCTTCGCGCTGCATCCTCTTCAAATAAGAATCTCGAAGCACCCATATAGGCTCTTCGGAAGTCCCACTATCTTTATTATCATCCAGCCACCCAGCGTTTGAATGAGCAGACTGTAAAAAACACTTCTGTCACAAGCTATGATCATCTCATTATTAACCACAACTTACTAAATAAGCAAGCAAGTCTAATTAGCATTCCATATCCACCTGACTAGAACGCCGATTTACTGGTCTTGCCGGTGGTGGCGGTGGAGCAAGCGTCCCACAAGATGGCACACCAACGACTGTTTCAGATTCCGCTGGAGTGTCCGCTATTGACGTGATTGACTTATGAACAGATGAAGATGGTTCGCCTTCATGCTTTTTCTGAACGATTGATGGAGTCATCTGCTAAAAAAACAATGTCTCTAAGAGCTCTAGGATAAGTGGGTTGAATAATTGTCTCACGTCTTGATTAATGTTGGGACCACCGCTGTGAAATGGCGCAGAGAAAGGTACTTGCGATGAGCCGACAAAGGCTTGACCATGAGGAAAAGACTGATTAAGGGCGAATGGCTGGCTAATAGTGCCCGAAGCAATATCGTTATATTGCTGCGACGTTCCATGTGGTAGATCTGTCAACTGTAATGAGTCGAAGTATTGAGTTGAAACAACGCTTTCACTAGAATGAAGTAGTAAGTAGTTTAAAAAAGGAACCCAACATACTTGTTGAGGTGTTAATGTTACAGGTGTCGTTGTGCTATCATAAGCATGGTGATGAGACCTAACCGGTGTAGTCCCAGAATTAGGAAGATTAAATGATGATCTGAGCTGGTTCAAGCTTGGTTTACCAGCAGAAGTAGACGGTTGAACAATCTGAATGATGACACTGTGAAATAAACGAGGTATCAATTTCAACGTTAAACGATAGGTAGATAAAGTTTGGTGGATCCACACACAACCACATGTACAGCAACAAACAACTAAATGCGGGGGAGGGGGGTAAATGGTAAGGCTTCTAGGGGAAGACTGTAACAAATCCATTCTAATAAATATGCCTTTTTAAAAGAAGAAGAATAGTCGTGTTCCAAATGCATTACTCCTATAGTGAAGAAATTTCGGACACAATAACTCGCACCTACTGACCAAGGATGACAATTTTGTGCCGTGTTTCGTCCATCGATGCGCAATGAGAGCAGAGTAAACATCTTCACAGCCCTATTATTAGTCTATAGCAATCGCCACCAACATTATCGAGATAATTAAAATCGAGTTACCATATGTCGCATCGATGTCGACAGGAAAGAGTACTGCTACCATTAGAGAAAGCTAACACACCAGCAACTCAGTCACAATTACGACATACGTCCACATGCGGAAGAATTTCAGCAAGGACGGACAGACCTGAGAATCACCGGAGACAGACTTGGCAGCGGGTGCAAATGTAGCGTGTTCGTCTAAAGCTGATAAGGATGCATCCGAGGTGAGCTCAAGAGCGACGGACGCTGAACCGAACAATTCGGCCAATTCACGATCATCTATCTAAATCCAATGATGGAACTCAAGAGGTACGCGCTAAAGGTACTTCGACTCTAAATGAGACAGAAAAATGTTCAAGAACCGAAAGCTTCCTGACTCAATGTTTTCTTGCTTTAGTATTTCAAAAACTTTAGTTAGGTTTCTTCCTTTTATGTTACAGAAACGTATCGTAGCGTATCATACGAGCGAATAACTTCTTTCAGCATCAGACCGGTACTGCACAAATTGCAATGAGAATGCTATATTAAGAAGAGGAGAGTACCAGAGAAACTGAATCGATTATGTAATATATTGCTAACCAAAGAAATTGAAATAAATTGAATGGTTAACTGAAGGCTATTTGTGAAGACAATAGACTCTACGTAAAAATCGCAAGATTTAAACGAGCATAAATTGCGCGCTCTTAACGACTGAGCTCATTACAAATAGCAACTTGCCTTTTTGACGTTTTTATTTTGGGATCTACGGGTGATTTCCTTCTCGATTTCACTCATTTGTTTCCGAATTAGATTCGTTGTCTTTTCATCTTCTGTTGGTAGTGAGCTTTTCCTTTCCAATTTCGCCTTAGGTGACTTGTACGTCTCCTCTCCTTCACTTTTTGTTGACCCTTTCTCAAAAGATGACTCGATACCATTCGATTTACGCTGAATAATACCATATGTTAACAGTGTAAAGCATATTAGAAATACAGAACAAGTAAAGGTCTACGACACGAAGTATTCGTCTATTCAAAGGCAAGGCTCATTAAAAAACAGTAGGAGTACATATCTCCACTCTCTCGATTAAAGAAATTTAAGCGCCACGAATGCGAATTCTAAACTACAGAGAATGCAACAAAGCCGCACACCTTACCACCTCTGCTAGCAAATACCCTTATACAAATACCATCCTTAACAAATTATGCTTTGGATGTATCTTGGATTTTCAGCTATTTTTCATGAAATGCAAGCACTGAACCCATATAAATCACAATGTAAAAGCACTGGTACTGGAAAGGTTGGCAAGCTCAAGACCAATGAAAGCTTCTGTGATAAGAGTAGGTGTGCACCCAGAAGGGTAAACCAGAAATAAAGCATGCAGATACGCATGTCTTTTCTATGAAGAGACCAACAGACATTCCAAGCAGTTTATAAGAAATTAGTTCTAAGTGTGAAAAATCATCCTACAACTTAAAATTATTCTTTCAAAACTCAAATTTACGATTAAAATGAAAGATAGCCTTCAATGTTACCAAGGTTGTTCTTCAACGGCTAGCGATAAATTCTTGGCAAGAAAAACTCTCGAAAACTTGAAGACTTGACAACCTTATAGAACACGCATTCAGCTATGGTATGAATAATTTTCAGGAATGTTATCCGAATTCCGATAATTGTTTAAAATTAAAATTGCAAAAAAAAAGGAAAGCGGGCGACAAAATCGCACAGTGTTACACGAACTCTCAACTGTTCATCCACTCCAGTGTTCGAAATATGAGTCTCGATAGAAGACAAAACAAAAAGTACATTTTATGATCTCTAAAAAAAACCAAGAGTTTTATCACTGTAGAACAAAAGTTATATCATATTGGAAAACACTTGTCGCTCGCCTGTCACAGCTTTGATTTCAACAAAGTAAAGCTCACAATTAAATAAAGTACCTCTGCTTGTACTTAACAGACGCAACTATTTTCGGTCACCTAACATTAAGTGGCGCACGTGCAGCAGTGGCAGGAAACGCCCTGCAATACCCTTGGATCGATTCCCGCGCCTTTGGCCCACCGAGCCTTCCATCTCTCCGGGGTTGGCAAATTGGTACTAGACTTGTCTGGGAGCATAGCAGCACTGGCTCGATACATCGGTGTGCCACCGCGAGTCATTGTAAAGGCCAGATATGCATTCAATCACCTCAAACGATGCTAAATGAAGTCAAATGCATGGCTCACCCCTCAGGGATTGATCATCGCCTGGAACCTTTTTTCCTTATAGTAGAATAAAGACCATAAATTAAACATTTAAGTTTCATTCTCACTATTCCCACTACCTGACGTGCGTGTTGACCGAGGTGAGTATTACGAATCTTTAAACGATTCGAAATGATGAGGATTTTTCCACAACCGCTAATAATTTCTGACAGGTAGATATATAATTCTAAAATACCATTAAAAAAGTAATTCATGACGAAAGGCAAAGCAAGGGCTTCAGTGGTGCTATGGGTAACGTGTGAACCCGCGAAAAGGATAATCGCAGGTTCGAATCTGGCCAAGAAAAAATCCAAATTTTACAAATATCTCATCATGATAGTGGCTGTACTTCAAGAATTTTTAAAAAAATTCATTTTTCGAAACATAACGCAAGTGTGAAGCCAGGAACGCAAACCACGCATTCAAGGACTACAAGCTTCACAACTAATACCGCTAAATTTGAACCAATTGGGTAATCAAACATTGCCTCATTCTGCATACTTAGTGGATCGTTTAGTAACCAATTGTACCATTCTTTCAAGCATTTCTACAACAACTCGCTGAGAAAATCCTCTTCAATGAACACGTCACTTCCAAACTTTTAAGTTACCGGAGTAGATAAACGTGAGTGTTGTTGGCAAAAGAGTGAAGATTCAAATGGATTTTAGGTCGAGTGAAAAAATTGTGCTTGAACCTTCAGCATTAAAACGGATTTACTTCTGCACCGAGCAATTAATTCGTCTTGCCGCTTTAGTGTTATTACAGATCATAAGGACCAAAACTATAGTGGCAGTCAAAGTGAGAGCGAAAAATGGGTAAGGAACCCTTGAACCATTTAATAACAGAATTTGATTTTGCAAATTAAGAATAGAAAATGTACGAACCAGCCCATGTTCATCAGAATTACAATGGCTCTCAGGTACAACGTCGTTTCCAACTGAAACAAAGAATTCTCAAAAATGTACATATCACACCTTTTATATTAGTAAAAGGACTAATGCTGTAGAAAACTAAGGAATGTTAGATAATTCATAAAAGACTTGAGAAATGTATCTGCAGCAATTCTAATCCTACACAGACGACATTCCGCATAAGATTCACTATAACTTTTTTCCCTGTTGAAAACAAACCAGCTAACAACTAAGTGTACTGGAGCTAATTATGTAATAAGGATGCTTCCATGGCCACCATGATACTTACAAGGCACAAATAACTTTTCATGTATACTTCGGAATTTATGACTACGTGGACGTCTCGTGAATTTGCTAGGGAGGAAAAGCGATATCCAGAGGATGATGCTACTTCTTCAATGAGACACTAGATATATGGAAACGACAATGGAAAGCTCTTCGAGTCTATGAATTATTTTCGCTGTAATTCAGTCATTATTCATATGACTTATGCCCCTTAACGAAACCACGTCATCACTACACGGAACATTTTTTCTGAATGGGAGATAGGGAGTGGTGTGGTGAGCCAATCATAAATAGTTAACTACTAACAGATTAGTTCCATTCAGAAATCTCAATAAAATTATATCACCTCGTTACGAATTAGAAATTTAGCTTTGCGTGTTGCCCTCGTTATAACCTAATTTGATTTGCCGAAGCAATGCCATGCATAAGGGATGATACCGCACGCTAAATTAACCCGCAAAGCTGTCAGACGAAAACAATCAACGAATACGAAAAGGAATGGATGTTAGTGCAAATACAGGCATTTAAGGATTAAATGAAAGCCATAAAACGCATTTGCAGTAATCGGAAAAGCCAGTTAACTAAAAACCCTTCACTAATTTGTCGCACCAAAGTGGGTGAGCATAGATTCCTAGGAGGTATCGAACAACGATGCACAGCGTGCATCGATCTTCCATTACGGGAGGAAGTTCGACATCTTCCATCCGAAATCACAACTTTCAGTATATCCACTAAATAGCATACTACTGCGAGCGACCAGCGACAACGCTATCAATCTCTTGAGCGCAAATCGAAAAGGTAATGCAGTTTCTTCGTTCCTAATCGTATTAGTCAATGTTGGGACGAATTAATAACATATTGTAAGCTCACAATTCTTACACTTAAGAGTGTATAAAAAAAGAGACCAAGAATAATTAAAGCATATACCTCTTTCCGCTCCTGAAAAGCTTCTAGCCGGAGAGTCTGACTGGGGTGAAGTCAAAGTCGGTGCAACTAACTGAAAGTTTTATTTCGTCCTCCATCAAATAAATTTCATAGATTAGTCTTCTGAGTCCTCCTAACGATCTACCGCCTCATCGTGGATGGGAGGTGTTCCTGGGTGTCGGACTGCGATGTACAGCGGGGAGATTCGTTTCCCCGGCGAGGTTTCCCAAGCTGAGGAGGGCGGCGTTTCCATCAGGAAGCCCAGCTAAGAGTAAACCGATACCACGATCCACCACCGTCCTGGAATCAAAGTCGCATGGTGGCAAATTTCGCTCTGATCCACAAGGGCCGCGACTGCCTGTAGTGATGAAGACCTAGAGCGGACTTTGGCCAGGCTGACCTCTGGATTACAGGGAATCACAATAGCTTAACCAGCAAATCTCCGAAAAATAGTGATTATGCTGGGGCCCGCACAACCAGTGAGGTCGAGCCGTTGAAGTAAATATCAAGTAAGTAAGTTTCCTGAGTAATAAATAATTCGTACAAATATATCAGTTAAAAATCGCTACTGTTTTAGAATAAAACTATTTTCTAATGAACCTATGTGTACTTTAATATAGATCTGACCTCTCGCTCCGACGATGTGTAACTAAGATGCAACTCCTGAAGCCCATTCACAGCCTCACCAACATTGTCCGATTGAGAAGCCTTAAAAGCAAGGTACGAAACGAGGTCACGAAGGTTCGATGTTAAAGAATATGAATTTTTTGAACACATAGTGTCCGACGCTCGAATTCGCGCGACCGCTACATGGATGACTCATGATATCGTGTCAGTCACGGACTTGCTGGTTTTTCGAAAAAAAAAAGGCGATTTCTTGATAACTAGAGGTTTGGAGGTGACTGAATGCATATCTGGTCTTTAAAATAACTCGCGGTGGCGTACCGATGCATCACGTTCGTGCTGCTGTCCTCCCAGACAAGTCTGGTACCAATTTGCCGAGCCCACATGGGTGGACGGCTTGGTGGGTCACCGGAGCAGGAATCGATCCCTTGTGTAATGCAGGGCGCCTGCGACCACTGCGCTACACAGCTTCATGCAGAATACGCTACACGCACTGCTGACTGATCAGCGCTGAGAGCTTTATCTTTTATTATTAGAGGGTTCGAAGGATCAAGAACACTTATGCAAGAGGCCTTCCTCCATTGCTCCAGTATCGATTTCGGTACCTTTTATAACCGTCCCCTATTCCATACGATAAGCATGACCCTTCAGAGTGATTGCAATGGAATAACTGTCAGTCACCACTCAACTTACTGGTCAATGAACTCGTCCAAAAAAACCTTTTCGTTGAATTTTTAAATGTATAAGACGTTTTGATGGGCCATGGCCATTATATATAAATATATGTGTACACACACACATATATATACATATATGTCAGATGAATTATCGACTGAGTGCAAAAAGTAAGGTAAAAAGCTTTTGCGGAGCAAAGTCAATCACTGGAAAAGAAATGGATGCTGAAATCACTGGATGCTATCACTTCCACCAAGACCCATACAGTGTATGTCAGCTACGTTTTAACATAGGTATACCAACATTACAACAGGATATCTCTACAAAGAACTCATTTCTGTATAAAACCTATTTAATGCAAAGAAGTAAAAAAAAAAGGTTAAGCACTAGCGCACCAATTTTCAACAAATATCTCTGCGATTCCAAGGTGTTCTGCGGTGTCTTCAAGAAAAAGGATCATGCTACAAGTTCCAAAACGCTATTTAAAAGTCGATACCTTCATGGATTGTTAAGTTAATTACTATTTAGAAATTTAAATGAAAACCAGTGCCAATCATAGCTGTAGGATTACCTGGCTACCAGGTCGTGCCAATGCAGCTCCAAAAGGCATCGGGAACGCCATGTTCATGCCATACTGATTAGCTGACATCATATAAGTGAAATACTGCTGCATCATTTCCTGATACTGGGCTGGAGAGAAGAAAAATGCAGGCATAGTTGCGTTCACACCAACTGGGGGCGCAGCTGGACCATCAGCTGCCATCCCTTGCTGAGGCATGAACGGCGACATGAACGGATTTGCGAAGAACGGCATGTCTGAAGTTGCATCAGATCACTACTAAAACATTTAGAAAGTCCCATTCCTTTCCAGTTATACTTTTTAAAGCCTATGGAATCGGTCTTTTAACGTGATCCCTTCAAAACAGCTTAGGAATTAATTCACTGTTCTGCAACTCTATTTCAATGCTGGACATTCAATATTTCTTATTCGTGGAAGAGTGAATAATGGTCATGAATTCCTAGCTGAGTAACGGTGGGGGCAATCCTTTTCAATTCACTCCCTTTCAACGGAATCTTCACGCGATTCTCCCGCGGAGAAACCATAAGAAATGGATAAAAATCTTCTAAAGAATAGATATCTTTTGTGTTTCAGCACAAACAACTTGAAATTACAAATTGATTCCTTATAAGTAATAATAGGAAGTAAACATATGGAAAGCTTCTACAAGAAGGAATGAAATGAACACCGGAAGCAGTATTCTAATATCCCGTATGAAACATTACCTTCCAGATGTTCACTTAGGGATATTCCACTATACAGATCACTTCACATTGAGACCTGTCCAGAAAATAAGGCAGACAGAGCATGGAAAGAAAGAAGAAGAAGAAGAACGCGTACGAAATTGCATCGAAAGAGCTTGCTCAGGTACTGCACTGGCATTCGCAGGACACGGGGTCGTCGTCGTCGTCGTCGTCGTCGTCGTGTGCATCCCAGACGGGTTCTCCGGCGACGTGGCACCCATCGTGGGCATCTTCTCCATCATCCTGAAACGGACCCAAGTGAATTCGAAGGTCACAGAGGTGCCTGGACCAGGTGAGTGGAGAAGGGGCGCATCTGGCGGTTCGCGACCCCGCCCTCTGCCGTCGCCGCTGCCGCGATCGATTCGCGCCGCTGCCGCTCTCGTTCTCTGCGCCGTCCCGGACGGCGATCGCTAGCGGATTTCCGCCGACGCGTATCATTGCAGGTTTTTCTTCCCCACACATTTACTAGACTTCGTCTAGTGCCCTTGTAAGCTTTCGGGAAGTTAAGCGACCTTAATGAATGGCATCCGTTGCTGTTTGTAGGTGCGCTTGTTTCAAATTTAGGAGGCGCTATCTTTTTCTGGAGCGTGCGTTTTGAAATCCTTGTGCTGAGTCCGTTCACCCCACGATAAATGTAGGTCCAACGAGATATTTGTCTTCTTTTCTTCTAACATTACACGTATCATTTAGCAATGGGTTTGGATTATTTTGGCCCATGTCTATGTTATTGATCGAGAAACCGTCCAAAAGTGAATTAAGGTGGACAAGTGAATGAGAAATTATGAAATTCCCCCACAGAACCTTTGTCTGACAGAATTTATAACTTATTGTTCTTTTTTCCGGAATTTCTATGAGGTTCATGTGGGAAGATTCTGCTCAAAAGCTTGTTTTGTTGTGGGTGCAGAGGAGCTTTCTCGCGTTCCTTAGTCTTTCCAATGTATTTTGTACCTCTTGTAAGTAGAAAAAAGTAAAAATTATCAATATATGAATCAAAACAACCACTATGTAGTGAAAATAAAGCTATTATTATTAAATTAATGAAAGGGATTATGCCGATGCTTATGGAAAGTTGATCTTTTCAATCAAAAAAGGGAGGGAATTTTAGGTGTTTCGTTACCTGCATTCTATGACGTCATTGTCGCCAAATCTTTTTTGAATTCGTGGGAAAATCCTTTGTATTTCCCGGTATTATTGATTGGTCGAGGTCACTGCTTAGTGGTCATAACCTTTTCGTTATTTTCAGAACCTACGGTTGTTGAACCACTAGTGGCAATATTGGAGTCATTGTTGATTTGTCCAGTAATTCGTCACAAACATATTTGATTCAGGTTTAAGTGTAAGTTTTACTATTACATTAAATCGAGTGGACTGACTTTCCTCCGCAGTCGATTAACTTTTTCTCGAAAGTGTAATTTCAACCCTTCATTTTGTTCTACCACGCCTATTTTGCTCTTTGATTTAGAGGGCTGTTCGAAGAATATCCACAGTTAGATCTGGAGCACTTGGAGCTAACATAACCCTCTAACGATGGCTTCGGGTGACCATGTCGCCATGACCATGTTGGCGATGGCCGAAACTCTTCGTCAACTTCAACCACCAAAGGTGAAAATGGCCATCAAATGTGCTAAGGTATACCACAACTCTCCTGTAGGCTTACACATGTTTAAAAAACATTTGTACCTCTCACTCTGCCTTATGTTTTAGGGTGCCTTAACGCTTTCTCTTTCTGTAGAAATGACTGCACATGTGAGATTTCAGTTAGGGAAGCTTTATTTCTTCTACACTGAAAATCTCGATCTCGCATTACAATGTCTGGAATCGGCGGTGAGTATTGCTCAGTTCGAATGCGGTCCTCTCTACTTGGAATGTTTTAGTACGAAATAATGACGAGAATGGGCGAATACTTCACCCAGCCGCGTCTTGAAGCACTAACGTTGATTTGTGAAGCGCTAATCCACGGTGAGATTCAAGGAAAGAAATGAAATCTTAATGTTGCCATTAACTGTTGGAAAATACAAGTTTAGGCCCACCAAGTACTGCCAACAACAACCGTGTACTTGCGCTGATACGCGCAGAACTTAACAATGCGAAGTTGTTTCCATTAATTTATGCGAAGATGTTGCTTTTCTACATCGTAAGTCTTAGTTTATATCTTGAAATTCTCAGATATCCTGCGAGCATCGTGGCTTCGCGCAGTGGGGCGTTATTGTCGTGCTCATAGTCTTATATTGGTTCTTTGTTCAAGACCAGACAGCCTTTATATGCCACCACACTTATTGTTGTCTCATTCAAATTTGTTGTTTTAGGAGGTGAACACAATTGAGGGTCGTGCTGACGATGCATTAGAAGCCTGTCAGATAGCTATACAACATTGCGACGATCCTGTTGTGAATCTTTATTTTCGCCTCACAAGGAATATGGTAAAAAAATCATGCGATGAATGCAATCACAATGGGACTAGGATATTTGCAAAACTCGCAACCCCAGGCCAACTTCAAATTCGCGATTACGCTTTTCGGATGTTCGCGTGTTACCCACTGCGCCACCTAGACCCTTGCTTTGCCTTTCTCTCAGTCAGTTCTTTACCGTAACGGTTCTATCAGCCATCACTCGTCAACTGGAATGGTCTGGGGAGCACAAACCGGCATTCAGTCCAGTTAAAATGAAGCTGCACTTGAAAACACGATGTTTTAACTCTTACTACTTGTCCTTAAGACCGATTTGTACTGTGCTCCCCAGGCGATTCGCGATAACGAGCGATTCCCAAAAACACCGTTAAAGTTTAAAAAAACTGGCTAAGAGAAAACCAAAGCAGAGGCATCGGTGGTGCAGTGGATAACACGCGAACACATGGAAACGGTAATCACAAGTTTGAAGCTGGTCTAAGGTTCCGAGCTTCCCAAATATCTTAGCATCGTTGTTGTTGCATTTCACATATAACTTGCCATGAATAAATCACCTGTAGTCCCGCTGAAGATCGAGTGACTCGAGCGGGCGCCAGTTAATCTTCCACTTTTCCCTGTGGCGTGCAAGAGTAGCCCAGTGGGTTCTGCTCACTCTAGGGACTCGTCGGGCATAGTATCTTTCTTCTAGGCTCTTCGTGAAGAACTCTGACCATCGGGTCGGTGGTCTTCCTGCAGTACGTTTGACATCCCGATCCAGTAACTAATGGTTCCTGACCATCGGTTGTCATTCATACGCATTACGTCTCCGGCCAACCTTATTTTCGGCTGCTCGGCGCACAGAAGGGCATCCTTGATTATTGATCGCTGACGCAGGTCGGAGCATCGGACCCCTTCTATAGCGTGTGTGACACGGGATGCTCCCAACATCGTCTTTTCGACTGCACGTTCGACAATAGTGAGTGATCGTTCGTCCTGCGTACGCAGCGACCAAGTCTGACGCATACGTTTGGGCAAGAAGTAGCGCTGAGTCGAGAAGCTGGGCAAGGAGTCGGGTGTTCTTTGTTCTCTTCACTACTTCCTCGATACTCTTGAAAGCTCCCCAAGCCGCTCGTTTCCTTCTGCTCATCTCTGGAGCTAGGTCGTTCATTATATTGATTTCCCGACCTAGATATAACTGGAGCATTCAGAGACATTCGTTCCATTGAGCTTGAATGGGGCATACGAAACCAATTCGTTCCACATGAACATCGTTTTTGTGAGATTTAGTCGAAGACCAATCTTTCCACAGGCTTTATCAAAGTCATCAAGCATACGTTCCGTTTGGCTAATGTTTGGTGTTATAAGGACGATGTCATCACCAAAGCGAAGAGGGTGTAACTGCCGACCGTCGATTTTCACTCCCATATTATCCCATTCCAATGTTCGCATGACGTTCGGGAGGGTGGCCATAAATAATTTGGGCGAGATGGTATCGACTTTCCTAACTCCTCTTTTGACGTCAATGTTAATATCGTAGAATGGTGATACCTTGGTTGTGAAATTTTTGTACAGCTCACGAAGAATCTTTACGTACTGAGTAAGGACTCCCTGACAATCAAGGGCTTCCCAGACTGCTTCCAGCTCAACTCAATCAAAACCTGTAAATCGATGAAAGTGAGACAGAGCGGTCTTTTGTACTCTCGCGGTACTTCAATGAGCCGTGTTATCGTGTGGATGTGGTCCATCGTACTAAATCCTTTTCGAAACCCTGCTTGCTCGCATGGCTGTCCTTCGCCCAATGTTCTGTTAATCCTGTTTAGGATGACTCGAGTGAAAAGTTTGTAGACGACAGGCAGCGAGCAAATTGGGCGGTAGTTGGCTATATCGTATAGGTCACCCTTCTTGAACAATAACACGGTTTTGCTTGTCTTCCACTGAATAGGGACCTTGCATTCGGACAGGTAGTGTGCGAAGACTCGAGCCAGTGTGTTTACGAGGATTGGCGGAAGGTTCTTCAGGTGTTCTGGTCTTATCCTGTCCGGACTTGGTGCTGTTCGATTTTTCACCGGCGAGATGGCATGTCGGATTTCGGAAGGGAGGACCGGTGGTGCCACATATCCACCCTCCTTTATTTCATATGACGGATGGCGGAAGTAGTTATCGAAGAGATCTGAGTAGTGTTCGTGAATGATTTTCTCCACTGCATTTCTGGACGCTGTAACTGTTCGGTCTGGGCGTCGGAGTGCAATCATCTTGGTCTTGTAATTGGCGAAGGTTCGGTGAGCTTTGAGAATGCTCTTCCCAGCCTTTGCAGCTTCGACAATTACTGCTGCTGTTCTCTATTTAAGATCTTTTATCGCGTGCCCGCATTGTTTTGCAAGTTCGGACTTTAGTTCGTGGTTGGTTGCAGCTCGTCCGATTCCACGCTGGCGTATCAGCTCGAGGGTTTCTGGGGACAGACGTCTCTTGGTGAATTTCGAACACTCAGCTTTCATAGCACTAACGTGAAGATGTTGCATGAGCTGGTCGTATTCTTTGTCGATGTTATCGACAACTGCATCTTCCCAACAACTGACTACTGAGTTGAATAGGACCCAGTTTACGGTGGTTCTGGTACTTCGGTTTTTGAATTTAGCGGCTTTTTCTCCTCTCCACGAGAAATAGAATCTTGCACGAAGGAGATGGTGGTCTAATCCCGTGTAGAATTTTGGGATAACAGCGACATCGGTTAGCCAAAACCTCTTTACTATGATGTGGTTTATCTCGTCATGGCACTCTCCATTGGGAGACTCCCAAGTCATTCGTTGAAGGTGGGGCGTCTGGAATTGCGAGTTGCCATGGACGGTCTTGGTCGCCATCGTAAACTC